AGCAACCTAACAGCGATATGTAGAAGCATATCTGAAAGCATTCCCCTTAAGATTCAGATGATTATCCCGGCAAAGCAACCTAACAGCGATGTGTAGGAGCATATCTGGAAGCATTCCCCTGAAGATTCGGATGAGAATCCAGTTGTAGAATTCTGCTGTTCTCGCAGTCGTAGTCGCATTCGCGATGACAGTCGCAGTGGCAACGGCAGTCGCAGTCACAGCCTCAGCCTCAGCCTGCCTCAGCCTCAGCCTCAGCCTGCCTCAGCCTCAGCCTGCCTCAGCCTCAGCCTCAGCCTGCTTCAGCCTCAGCCTCAGTCTGCCTTCAGCCTCGGCCTCAGCCTCAGCCTGCCTCAGCCTCAGCCTGCATCAGCCTCAGCCTCAGCCTCAGCCTGCCTCAGCATCAGCCTGCAGCCTCAGCCTCAGCCTGCCTCCGCCTCAGCCTCAGCCTGCTTCAGCCTCAGCCTCAGTCTGCCTTCAGCCTCGGCCTCAGCCTCAGCCTGCCTCAGCCTCAGCCTGCATCAGCCTCAGCCTCAGCCTCAGCCTGCCTCAGCATCAGCCAGCCTCAGCCTCAGCCTCAGCCTGCCTCAGCCTCAGCCTCAGCCTGCTTCAGCCTCAGCCTCAGTCTGCCTTCAGCCTCAGCCTGCCTCAGCCTCAGCCTGCATCAGCCTCAGCCTCAGCCTCAGCCTGCCTCAGCATCAGCCTGCCTCAGCCTCAGCCTCAGCCTGCCTCAGCCTCAGCCTCAGCCTGCTTCAGCCTCAGCCTCAGTCTGCCTTCAGCCTCGGCCTCAGCCTCAGCCTGCCTCAGCCTCAGCCTGCATCAGCCTCAGCCTCAGCCTCAGCCTGCCTCAGCATCAGCCTGCCTCAGCCTCAGCCTCAGCCTGCCTCAGCCTCAGCCTCAGCCTGCTTCAGCCTCAGCCTCAGTCTGCCTTCAGCCTCGGCCTCAGCCTCAGCCTGCCTCAGCCTCAGCCTGCTTCAGCCTCAGCCTCAGCCTGCTCAGCATTCAAAATGTGGCCCGGGAATGGAATTCTGGGAACTCGAAGAACACGAAGTGGCCTACAGTTGGCTCCGGGCATTCAAAATCATGCCCAGGAATGGAGTTCTGGGAACTTGAAGAGCACGAAGTGGCCTACAGTTGGCTCCGGGCATTCAAAATGTGGCCCAGGAATGGAGTTCTGGGAACTCGAAGTTTGCTCCGGGCATCCAAAATGTGGCCCGGGAATGGAGTTCTGGGAAATCGAAGAGCACGAAGTGGCCTACAGTTGGCTCCGGGCATCCAAAATGTGGCCCGGGAATGGAGTTCTGGGAAGTCGAAGAAAACGAAGTGGCCTACAGCTGGCTCCGGTTATTCAAAATGTGGCCCGGGAATGGATTTCTGGGAGGTCGAAGAGCACGAAGTGTGTGACTGTTGGCTTGCTCTCTTTTGACCCTACTGGAAACCTATCAACAAAAGCTGTTAAGTAAAAATCCAGTTGTAAAATATTGCTGTTCTCGCAGTCGTAGTCGCATTCGCGATGACAGTCGCAGCGGCAACGGCAGTCGCAGTCACAGCCTCAGCCTGCCTCAGCCTCAGCCTCAGCCTGCCTCAGCCTCAGCCGGCCTCAGCCTCAGCCTCAGCCTGCTTCAGCCTCAGCGTCAGTCTGCCTTCAGCCTCGGCCTCAGCCTCAGCCTGCCTCAGCCTCAGCCTGCATCAGCCTCAGCCTCAGCCTCAGCCTGCCTCAGCATCAGCCTGCTTCAGCCTCAGCCTCAGCCTGCCTCAGCCTCAGCCTCAGTCTGCTTCAGCCTCAGCTTCAGTCTGCCTTCAGCCTCGGCCTCAGCCTCAGCCTGCCTCAGCCTCAGCCTGCCTCGGCCGCAGCATCAGCCTGCCTCAGCATTCAAAATCATGCCCAGGAATGGAGTTCTGGAACTAGAAGAACACGAAGTGGCCTACAGTTGGCTCCGGGCATTCAAAATGTGGCCCGGGAGTGGAGTTCTGGGAACTCGAAGAACACGAAGTGGCATACAGTTGGCTCCGGGGACTCAAAATGTAGCCCGGGAGTTGGATTTTGGGAACTCGAAGAACACGAAGTAGCCTACAGTTGGCTCCGGGCATCCAAAATGTGGCCCGGGAGTGGAGTTCTGGGAACTCGAAGAGCACGAAGTGGCCTACAGTTGGCTCCGGGCACTCAAAATGTAGCCTGGGAATGGGATTTTGGGAACTCGAAGAGCACGAAGTGTGTGACTGTTGGCGAAAAGCGAGCCCGGCTCTGTTCCCGGTTCTCCAGAACGTGGCCCGGGAGTGGAGTTCTGGGAGGTCGAAGAGCACAAAGTGTGTGACTGTTGGCGAAAAACGATTCCCGGTTCTCCTCCCCGGCACCCGCCCAGACCCCCCTGAGGAGTCATGATGCTCTCTTTTGACCCTACTAGAAACCTATCAGCAAAAGCTGTTAGGTAATCAGCAAAAGCTGTTAGGTAATGTAGGGTTGAGTGAGTCCGAGATCTCGTCGAAGGGCCGCTGCTTCCTCGGGCGGGCGTAGCGCGCGGGCCTCCCAATACTGCAGCCACAAACGGTCGGCCTCCAGAAGTGCGTCATGAAGCGCCACCGGCGCAGAGCCGCCAGCAGGCCAGGACACGAGGTCCATGCTTTAGGAGACCATGTTGCCGCGCCCCGCAGAGTAGATCGGGCAACTGGAGCAGATGTCGAAGAGCGAGCTCGAGCGGGAGATGTCAGAGGGCGGGCCGCCGAACTTGACATGCTGCGCAGCGATGTAGTCGGGCGGCCGCTGCTGCAAAACTGCGGGGCGCTTCCGAATCGGCGGCGCCCCGCCCCCGCCTGGCCAGTTGAGCGCCCTAATACTCTCGAGGAAGAAGTGGAGGAGGGGGAACGTTTCGCTGACGACTGACGGCCACGGCGCGGGGGCCACGACGTCAGGAGGGGCCAGAGGGGGGCCCTCCAGGATGGCCAAAGTCCCGGCGGCCGCCGCAAGCGCGATGAAGAGCGCAGGCTAAGACTTGCCAGCCTTGCCCGCGCGGCAGCCCTGTCCACCGCCTCGGCCACCAGCGGGCGGTTGGGGCAGCTGCCGCTCGTCACGCGCCGTGCGCCGCTCCTTCGCGATGGCCGAGTCGGCGGCGAGCTGCATGGATATCCACTCGGACAGGGCAAGCCACACCATGAGCCCACGGGTGGACTGAATTCCCGTGAAGAAGAACTGCTCGCGGCCTCCGCTGCCGGGGGGTCGCGAGCGCACCAGCTTGTCCGCGTACCTTTCCTCGCAAAGCTGGGGCTGTCGGGCGATGAGCTCCATCGCGGCAGCGTTCGACCCATCGATCTGATCGTACGACAGGGCGACCTGCGCGATCCGCGAGGAGTCGTGATGACCGAGGCGATGAGGTCGTCCACTGGCACGGTCGACCCGAAAGCGGCCTTCCAGGCCAGGTAATGTCCCCTCGGCGAGCCTCCGTTCTCCACCTGGTACGTCGGGGCCCAGTGGTACGTGGCGGGGCAATGCCCGCCCCGAACGGGAAAGCTCGTCGGCCGCGTGAGCTGGAGCCAGTCCCTGACATCCCGATGACGTAGCCCCTGCACGTCGCGCGCGGTCGCGAGGGTCCGAAGGTCTCCAAGCCTGGCGGCGGCCCTGCCGTCGACCGCGGGGGGCGCGGCAGCGACAGCACTGTCACCTCCAGCGGCAGGCGGGGCAGCAACCAGCGCGGCGGGCCCCCACAAGCCCTCCGCCCGCGGTGGGGGAGCTCGCCGCGCCAGCAGCGGCTGCCGGGGCGGGGGCGGGGCCGGCGGCAGCGGCGCTGCCAGCGGCAGCAGGCGCATGCGCGGCGATGCCACCTCCCAAGGGAGCACCGTCGGCAGCCGCGGCGCGGGCAGGAAGGGCATCATGGCCCCCAGCACCACCAGGAGCAGGAGCGGCCGCAGCAGAGCCCGCACCATCGTCGCGCTCCAGCTCGGCCATCTTCGCGGCTCCGCGGACGCAGGCCCGCGCCAGCTGGGCGACCGTCGGCATCGCGGCGAGGTCAGAGTGCCGCAGTCCAGCTGGAGTGACGGCGCCCAACGGCGCAGCGGCGGGGCCCCCCTCCTTCCACAGTTGCGGGTGCCGGCGCCCCCAGCATCGTACTCCTCGGCGTGCACGTCAAAGTCGGGCGTGAGGACGGCGTAGTGCTCCAGTCCGCGAGACGAGAACGCAACCACGACGCGCTTGTGAGCCCGGCGAGGCCCAGCGGCAGCCGGCAGGCCGCACCGCGCGGCCTCCCAGGCCAGGGAGGGCCGATGCCCGCGGTCCGTCGCGCCCGAGGGGCAGGACAGGCGAGGCGAGGGGCAGGCGCACGATGCCTCCCTCGCGCCCAGGCCGGTGGCCAGGCAGTCAACCAGCGGCACCAGGAACTCGGCGGCGTCACCCAGCGCCGGGAGCGGGCCCGCCTTGAGCAGCGGGAGGAGCGCGGCCGCCGACGCGGCCGCCGCGGGCGCGCCTGGGACCGCGGGCTCGGAGGGCGGCAGCCACCAGCGAGCCAGGAACAACAGGATATCGTTGCTTGCGAGCGGGAGGCCGATCCCGGAACCAGTGAAGCGCATCCGGGTGGAGGCCTCGCCCTCCAGCAAAAGACTTGAGCCGACGCGGTCGCGGCGATATGCGTGACCACGACGGCCTTCAGTTCCACCTGAGATGAGATGTGCAAACACGGCCATCATCATCATCATCATCATCATCATCATCATCATCATCATCATCATCATCATCATCATCATCATCATCATCATCATCATCATCATCATCATCATCATCATCATCATCATCATCATCATCATCATCATCATCATCATCATCATCATCATCATCATCATCATCATCTCCTTTCTCTCTCTCTCTCTGTCTCTGCCTGTTCTCTCCGTCCCCTCCTTACGTCCCTGCCTCCCTGCCTCCCTATCCTTTGCTTCCTCATCCCTCTCCCCCTCTTCTCCCCCTCTCCTCTCCTCTCCTCCTCCCTACTCCTTCCTTCATCCTCTGTCAGAGGTGGGTCCTCGTTGCAGTGCAGGCCAGCGTCGGCGCATGCGGCCGAGCAGGAGGTGCGGGCGGCTCCCAGCACCCAGCCGGCGGCCAGGGTCGCCGTGGTGGAGCTCGTCCGCGTGAGCGTGGTGGCGCTTGTCAGGCTGCTGCGCGTCACCGTGCTAGTTGGCGTGGCAGACGACGTCGACGTCGATGAGTTGGTACTGGTGACAGTGGAGATGGTCGTAACAGTTGTGGAGGTAGCGCTCGTGGATGTAAGAGTTGAGGTGCTGGTAGCGCTTGTGGTGGTCGGGGTTATCGTGCTACTCGCACTGGTGCTGGTCACACTCCCGCTTATTGTGGTCCCTGTGACGCTGAAGGTACTTAGCGACGTGCTGCTGCTTTCCGTAACACTGGTGCTCATGGTGGTCATGCTGGTCGGCGTGACACTAAGGCTGCTAAGCGATATGCTGCTACTTTCTGTAACACTTGTGCTTATCGTCATGGTGCTGGTCACAGTCATGGTGGTCATTGATGTGGCACTGGTTCTACTGGTCCTGGTTACACTTGTGGTCCTCGTGGCACTTGTGCTGACTGTGGTGGCGGTGGTGGTGCTAGTGCGTGTCACTGTTCTTGATGTGACAGAGCTGGTCCCCGTCGGAGACGTAGTCGTCCCGCTGGTCTTGCTCAAAGTCGTGGTTATTGTGCTGCTGGCTGTACCTGTTGTGCCGGTGGAGGTTGAGGTGCTGCTCTCAGTGAAGCTGGTCAGAGTAGCACTTGTCTGGGAAACTGTTGTGGTACTCTGCGTCAGTGTCGTGTTGCTTGCCGTGCGACTCGAAACCGTAGATTGCGTGCTGCTCCCGCTGCTGGTAGCGAACGTAGTACTGCTGGTAGCTGTCGGAGTCTGCGTCACGCTGAAGCTCCCTGTAGTACCAGTTGCGCTGGTATGTGTTGTGATGCTTGATGTGGCACTCGTGCTCACTGTACTTGTTCTGGACAACGTCGGCGTTGTCAGTGTAGACGTGCTGCTGATACTGTCAGTGCTCTGACTGCTGCTCAGCGTGCTGCTGCTTGTAGCTGTTGCGCTGGTCGGGCTCGTAGTGCTGCTCTCGCTACTAGTTGCGCTGGTATTTGTTGTGATGCTTGACGTGGCGCTCGTGCTCACTGTGCTTGTTCTGGACAACGTCGGCGTTGTCAGTGTAGACGTGCTGCTGGTATTTGTTGTGATGCTTGACGTGGCGCTCGTGCTCACTGTGCTTGTTCTGGACAACGTCGGCGTTGTCAGTGTAGACGTGCTGCTGATACTGTCAGTGCTCTGACTGCTGCTCAGCGTGCTGCTGCTTGTAGCTGTTGCGCTGGTCGGGCTCGTAGTGCTGCTCTCGCTACTAGTTGCGCTGGTATTTGTTGTGATGCTTGACGTGGCGCTCGTGCTCACTGTGCTTGTTCTGGACAACGTCGGCGTTGTCAGTGTAGACGTGCTGCTGATACTGTCAGTGCTCTGACTGCTGCTCAGCGTGCTGCTGCTTGTAGCTGTTGCGCTGGTCGGGCTCGTAGTGCTGCTCTCGCTGAAGCTGGTCAGGCTAGCTGTTGTCTGGGAGACACCAGCGATGCTGTGCGTCATTGTACTGCTCTCTGTGGAACTCAAAGACGTCCGCGTTGTTAGCGTAGAAGTTCTACTTACACTGGCAGTGGTCTGGCTGCTTGTAGTTATTGTGTTCGGCAAGGTTGCGGCGCTGCTCTTAGTGGAGCTAGTTAGGCTGGCAATTGTCAACGAAACTGTGGTGGTACTCTGCGTCAATGTCGTGATGCTTGCCGTGCGACTCGTGACCATAGATTGTGTGTTGCTCTGGCTGCTGGTAGCGAACGTAGTACTACTGGTAGCTGTCGGAGTCTGCGTCACGCTGAAGCTCCCTGTAGTACCAGTTGCGCTGGACTGTGTTGTGATGCTTGATGTGGCGCTCGTGCTCACTGTACTTGTTCTGGGCAACGTCGGCGTTGTCAGTGTAGACGTGCTGCTGATACTGTCAGTGCTCTGACTGCTGCTCAGCGTGCTGCTGCTTGTAGCTGTTGCGCTGGTCGGGCTCGTAGTGCTGCTCTCGCTAAAGCTGGTCAGGCTAGCTGTTGTCTGGGAGACACCAGTCATGCTGTGTAACATTGTACTGCTCTCTGTGGAACTCAAAGACGTCCGCGTTGTTAGCGTAGAAGTTCTACTTGCACTGGCAGTGGTCTGGCTGCTTACAGTTGTTGTGTTCGTCAGGGTTGCGGCGCTGCTCTTAGTGGAGCTAGTTCGGCTGGCAATTGTCAACGAAACTGTGGTGGTACTCTGCGTCAATGTCGTGATGCTTGCCATGCGACTCGTGACCGTAGATTGTGTGTAGCTCTGGCTGCTGGTAGCGAACGTAGTGCTACTGGTAGCTGTCGGAGTCTGCGTCACGCTGAAGCTCCCTGTAGTGCCAGTCACGCTGGTCTTCGTTGTGCTAATGTTTGCTGTGGCACTCGTGATCACTGTGCTTGTGCTGGATTCCGTGCGAATTGTCGACGTCGCTGTGCTACTGAAACTAAAAGTGACCAGACTCACCGTGGAGGTGGCCGTAGACGTCGCACTGCTCGAGCTCGTGCCCGCCGTTGTCGCCGTCCTCGTGCTCGTGCCCGGACTGGTCGTGGCCATGCTGCTCGAGGTCACACTGCTGCTCGTCTGAGACGTACTGCTAGTCATCGAGGCACTGGAAGTCACGGTGGTCAACGACGCCGTCGTGCTGCTGGTATCGCTCGCGCTGGCCGTAGAAGTGCGTGTCTCGGTTGGCGAAGTGTTGAATGGCCCCGTCGTGCCCGCGCCGCTGCTCGCGGTACTGCTAGCCAGCATGGTGCTACTCGACTGCGTGGCACTCGAAACTCTACTGCTGGAAGTTGCGGTTCTCGTCTCGACCGCGCTCATGCTGCTGCTTAATGTTGCCGTGGAGCTCACCGTAGAAGTGGCTGTGGACGTCACACTGCTTGAGCTCGAACTTGTCGTGTCACTGTTGCTGAACGTCGTAGTCGTCGACGACAGCGTAATCGTGACAGAAAACCCGTCGTAGACACCGTCGATCGCTGGCGCATGGATGCTCCCCATCACCAGGGTGTAGTTCGCGCCGAGATTTTGGAGGCTGATCGTGGCCAAGTCCTGCATAGTCGCCAGGGCGCCCGAGGCAGTCAATGCAGAGGCAATGTCCGAGGTTAGTTCGCCAATATTTCCCGAAACACCGACGGTGGAGATGCTGTACGAGACTCGGACGGCACCCAATGCGGACAGTCGACGGCCTTGCGTCGTCGCAGACAGCACCAGGGTCACGGACACCTGGCTCGCCGCCGCGCCCACCAGGCTGGCGACACTGTCTGTCACCGCCGTCACGGCGGCGCTATCGTTCACGAAGACCACTGCGTTTGAAACATACAGGTCCATCAATCCACTGACCGTTCCGACAACTTCAACGGTCATAGTGGAGGTGCTGGTTTCCAATGTGGAGCCCAAGTTACTTTTCGATGTGGTTGAAAGCGCGGTAGCACTCATAACGGTCGTACTCGCCGTCGTCGCCGTCCTCGTGTTCGTGCCCGAACTGGTCGTGACCGTGCTGCCCGAGGTCACACTGCTGCTCGTCTGAGACGTACTGCTAGTCATCGAGGCACTAGAAGTCACGGTGGTCGACGATGCCGTCGTGCTGCTGGTGCCGCTCGAACTGACTGTCGTGCTGCTAGTATCGCTCGCGCTGGCCGTAGAAACTCTTGTCTCGGTCAGCGTAGTGTTGCCTGACCCCGTGGTGCCCGTCAGCGACGTGCCGCTGCTCGCGGTACTGGTCGCCAGTGTGGTGCTGCTCGACCGCGTTGCACTCGAAACTGTACTGCTGGAAGTCACGCTGCTCGTCTCGACCACGCTCATGCTGCTGCTGCTCACTGTTGTGGCGCTTGAATACGTGGTAGTACTGGTAGTGGTGGTCGGACTCGTCGTCGTCGCCGTCCGCGTGTTCGTGCCCGAAGGGGTCATGACCGTACTGCTCAATGTCACACTGCTTCTCGTCTGAGACGAACTGCTAGTCATCGACGCAGTGGAAATCCCAGTGGTCGACGATGCCGTCGTGCTGCTGGTGCCGCTCGAACTGGCGGTCGCGCCGCTGGTATCGCTCGCGCTGGCCGTAGAAGTTCTTGTCTCGGTCAGCGTAGTGTTGCCTGACCCCGTCATGCCCGTCAGCGACGTGTCGCTGCTCGCGGTACTGGTCGCCGGCGTGGTGCTGCTTGACTGTGTGGCACTCGAGACCGTACTGGTGGAAGACGCGCTGCTCGTCTCGACCACGCTCGCGCTGCTGCTCACTGTTGTGGCGCTTGAAACCGTGCGAGTGCCAGTAATAGTTTTCGGACTCGCCGTCGTCGCCGTCCGAGTGCTCGTGCCCGAAGGGGTCGTGACCATGCTGCCCGAGGTCACACTGCTGCTCGTCTGAGGCGTACTGCTAGTCACCGAAACACTGGAAATCCCAGTGGTCGACGATGCCGTCGTGCTGCTGGTGCCGCTCGAACTGACTGTCGTGCTGCTGGTATCGCTTGCGCTGGCAGTAGAAATACTTGTCTCGGTTAACGTAGTGTTGCCTGACCCCGTCGTGCCCGTCAACGACGTGTCACTGCTCGCGGTACTGCTCGCCGGAGTGGTGCTGCTCGACTGCGTGGCACTCGAGGTCGTACTGGTGGAAGACGCGCTGCTCGTCTCGACCTCGCTCGCGCTGCTGCTCACTGTTGTGGCGCTTGAAACCGTGCGAGTGCCAGTAATAGTTTTCGGTCTCGCCGTCGTCGCCGTCCGAGTGCTCGTGCCCGAAGGGGTCGTGACCATGCTGCCCGAGGTCACACTGCTGCTCGTCTGAGGCGTACTGCTAGTCACCGAAACACTGGAAATCCCAGTGGTCGACGATGCCGTCGTGCTGCTGGTGCCGCTCGAACTGACTGTCGTGCTGCTGGTATCGCTTGCGCTGGCCGTAGAAGTACTTGTCTCGGTTAACGTAGTGTTGCCTGACCCCGTCGTGCCCGTCAACGACGTGTCACTGCTCGCGGTACTGCTCGCCGGAGTGGTGCTGCTCGACTGCGTGGCACTCGAGGCCGTACTTGTGGAAGACGCGCTGCTCGTCTCGACCTCGCTCGCGCTGCTGCTCACTGTTGTGGCGCTTGAAACCGTGCTAGTGCCAGTAATAGTTTTCGAACTCGCCGTCGCCGCCGTCCTCGTGCTCGTGCCCGAACTGGTCGTGCCCATGCTGCTGCTCGTCTGAGGCGTACTGGTAGTCACCGAAACACTGGAAGTCCCAGTGGTCGGCGATGCCGTCGTGCTGCTGGTGTCGCTCGAACTGACTGTCGTGCCGCTGGTATCGCTCGTGCTGGCCGTAGAAGTATTTGTCTCGGTTAACGTAGTGTTGCCTGACCCCGTCGTGCCCGTCAGCGACGTGCCGCTGCTTGCGGTACTGCTCGCCGGAGTGGTGCTGGTCGACCGTGTGGCACTTGAAACTGTACTAATTGAAGTCGCGCTGCTCGTCTCGACCACGCTCATACTGCTGCTGCTCACTGTTGCGCTGCTTGGATACGTGGTAGTACCACTCATGATGGTCGGACTCGCCGTCGTCGCCGTCCGAGTGCTCGTGCCCGAACTGCTCGTGACCGTACTGCTCGAGGTCACACTGCTGCTCGTCTGAGACGTACTGCTAGTCATCGAGGCACTAGAAGTCACGGTGGTCGACGATGCCGTCGTGCTGCTGGTGCCGCTCGAACTGACTGTCGTGCTGCTAGTATCGCTCGCGCTGGCAGTAGAAGTACTTGTCTCGGTTAATGTAGTGTTGCCTGACCCCGTCGTGCCCGTCAGCGACGTGCCGCTGCTCGCGGTACTGGTCGCCAGTGTGGTGCTGCTCGACTGCGTGGCACTCGAGGCCGTACTGGTGGAACTCACGCTGCTGGTCTCGACCACGCTCATACTGATGCTGTTCACTGTGGTGGCGCTTGAATACGTGGTAGTACTAGTAGTGGTGGTCGGACTCGTCGTCGTCGCCGTCCGCGTGTTCGTGCCCGAAGGGGTCATGACCGTACTGCTCAATGTCGCACTGCTTCTCGTCTGAGACGAACTGCTAGTCATCGACGCACTGGAAATCACGGTGGTCGACGATGCCGTCGTGCTGCTGGTGTCGCTCGAACTGGCGGTCGCGCCGCTGGTATCGCTCGCGCTGGCCGTAGAAGTTCTTGTCTCGGTCAGCGTAGTGTTGCCTGACCCCGTCGTGCCCGTCAGCGACGTGTCACTGCTCGCGGTACTGGTTGCCGGCGTGGTGCTGCTTGACTGTGTGGCACTCGAGGCCGTACTGGTGGAAGACGCGCTGCTCGTCTCGACCACGCTCGCGCTGCTGCTCACTGTTGTGGCGCTTGAAACCGTGCGAGTGCCAGTAATAGTTTTCAGACTCGCCGTCGTCGCCGTCCTCGTGCTCGTGCCCGAAGGGGTCGTGACCATGCTGCCCGAGGTCACACTGCTGCTCGTCTGAGGCGTACTGCTAGTCACCGAAACACTGGAAATCCCAGTGGTCGACGATGCCGTCGTGCTGCTGGTGCCGCTCGAACTGACTGTCGTGCTGCTTGTATCGCTTGCGCTGGCAGTAGAAATACTTGTCTCGGTTAACGTAGTGTTGCCTGACCCCGTCGTGCCCGCCAACGACGTGTCACTGCTCGCGGTACTGCTCGCCGGAGTGGTGCGGCTCGACTGCGTGGCACTCGAGGCCGTACTGGTGGAAGACGCGCTGCTCGTCTCGACCACGCTCGCGCTGCTGCTCACTGTTGTGGCGCTTGAAACCGTGCGAGTGCCAGTAATAGTTTTCGGACTCGCCGTCGTCGCCGTCTTCGTGCTCGTGCCCGAAGGGGTCGTGACCATGCTGCTCGAGGTCACACTGCTGCTCGTCTGAGGCGTACTGCTAGTCACCGAATCACTGGAAATCCCAATGGTCGACGATGCCGTCGTGCTGCTGGTGCCGCTCGAACTGACTGTCGTGCTGCTGGTATCGCTTGCGCTGGCAGTAGAAGTACTTGTCTCGGTTAACGTAGTGTTGCCTGACCCCGTCGTGCCCGCCAACGACGTGTCACTGCTCGCGGTACTGCTCGCCGGAGTGGTGCGGCTCGACTGCGTGGCACTCGAGGCCGTACTTGTGGAAGACGCGCTGCTCGTCTCGACCACGCTCGCGCTGCTGCTCACTGTTGTGGCGCTTGAGACCGTGCTAGTGCCAGTACTAGTTTTCGAACTCGCCGTCGCCGCCGTCCTCGTGCTCGTGCCCGAACTGGTCGTGCCCATGCTGCCGCTCGTCTGAGGCGTACTGCTAGTCACCGAAACACTGGAAGTCCCAGTGTTCGGCGATGCCGTCGTGCTGCTGGTGTCGCTCGAACTGACTGTCGTGCCGCTGGTATCGCTCGTGCTGGCCGTAGAAGTACTTGTCTCGGTTAACGTAGTGTTGCCTGACCCCGTCGTGCCCGTCAGCGACGTGCCGCTGCTTGCGGTACTGCTCGCCGGAGTGGTGCTGGTCGACCGTGTGGCACTTGAAACTGTACTAATTGAAGTCGCGCTGCTCGTCTCGACCACGCTCATACTGCTGCTACTCGCTGTTGCGCTGCTTGGATACGTGGTAGTACCACTCATGATGGTCGGACTCGCCGTCGTCGCCGTCCGAGTGCTCGTGCCCGAACTGCTCGTGACCGTACTGCTCAATGTCACACTGCTGCTGAACTGAGACGTACTGCTAGTCATCGAGGCACTAGAAGTCACGGTGGTCGACGATGCCGTCGTGCTGCTGGTGCCGTTCGAACTGACTGTCGTGCTGCTGGTATCGCTCGCGCTGGCAGTAGAAGTACTTGTCTCGGTTAATGTAGTGTTGACTGACACCGTCGTGCCCGTCAGCGACGTGTCACTGCTCGCGGTACTGCTCGCCGGAGTGGTGCTGCTCGACTGCGTGGCACTCGAGGCCGTACTGGTGGAAGTCGCGCTGCTCGTCTCGACCACGCTCATACTGATGCTGTTCACTGTTGTGGTGCTTGGATACGTGGTAGTACTACTCGTAATGGTCGGATTCGCTGTCGTCGCCGTCCGAATGCTCGTGCCCGAACTGGTCGTGACCGTACTGCTCGAGGTCACACTGCTGCTCGTCTGAGACGTACTGCTAGTCACCGAGGCACTGAAAAACCCAGTGGTCGACGATGCCGTCATGCTGCTGGTACCGCTCAAACTGGCCGTCGTGCTGGTGGCATGGCTCGAACTGGCCGTAGAGGTACTTGTCTCGGACAGCGTGGTGTTGTCTGACCCCGTCGTGCCCGTCAGCGACGTGCTGATGCTCGCGGTAGTGGTTGCCGGCGTGGTGCTGCTTGACTGTGTGGCACTCGAAACTGTACTGCTGGAAGTCGCACTGCTCGTCTCGACCACGCTCGCGCTGCTGCTCACAGTCGTGGTGCTCGAGTACGAGGTAGTGCCAGTAGTGGTTGTCGGACTCGCCGTCGTCGCCGTCCTCGTGCTCGTGCCCGAGCTGGTCGTGGCCATGCTTCTGGAGGTTACACTGCTGACCGTCTGAGACGAACTGCTAGTACTGCTGCTGCTGCTGGATGCCATACTGCTGCTCGTCTGAGACGTACCGCTGCTGCTGCTGACCGTGCGAGACGAGATGCTGGATGTCATACTGCTGCTCGTCTGAGACGTACTGCTAGTCACCGAGGCACTGAAAAACCCAATGGTCGACGATGCCGTCGTGCTGCTGGTACCGCTCGAACTGACTGTCGTGCTGCTGGTATTGCTCGCGGTGGCCGTAGATGTGCTTGTCTCGGTCACTGTAGTGTGGCCTGACCCCGACCCCGTCGTGCCCGTCAGCACTGTGTCGCTGCTCGCAGCACTGGTCACCGGCGTGGTGCTGCTCGACTGTGTGGCACTCGAGACCGTACTGCTGGAAGTCGCGCTGCTCGTCTCGAACACGCTCACGCTGCGGCTCACTGTCGTGGAGCTCCCCGATGAAGCGGCCACGGACGTCGCACTGCTGCTGCTCACAGTTGTGGTGCTTGAATACATGGTCGTACCAGTACTGCTAGTCACCGAGGTACTGATAAACCCAGTGGTCGACGATGCCGTCGTGCTGCTGGTATCGCTCGCGCTGGCCGTAGAAGTGCTTGTCTCGGTCAGTGTAGTGGTGCCTGACTCCAACGTGCCTGTCAGCGACGTGCCGCTGCTCGCAGAAGTGCTCGCGGAGGTGGTACTGCTCGACTGTGTGGCACTAGAAACCGTATTGCTGGATGTCGCGCTGCTAGGCTCGACCACGGTCATACTGCTGCTCACTGCGATCGTGGAGCTCACTGTTGAAGTGGCCGCGGATGTCGCACTGCTCTCCGTGGTCAAGGTGGTTGTACTGGACATGGTGGGTGTGGTCAAGGTGCTGGTGCTGGTGGCTGAACTACTTGTCGGCGAGGTGCTGAACCAAGTAGAACTTGCAGTTGTCATTGTGGCAGTGGTCATGCGGGTTGTGCTTGACTCCGCGGTACTGGTCAGGGTGGTAGTACCACTCGAAATGGTCGGACTCTCCGTCGTCGCCGTCCTTGTGCGCGTGCCAGAACTGGTCGTACCCGCGCTGCTCGAGGTCACATTGCTACTCGTCGGAGACGTACTACTAGTCACCGAAACACTGAAAACCACAGTGGTCGACGATGCCGTCGTGCTGCTGCCATCGCTCGAAGTGACTGTCGTGCTGCTGGTACCGCTCGAACTGGCCGTAGAAGTGCTTGTCTCGGTCAACGTATTGTTGCCTGACCAAGTCGTGCCCGTCGGCGACGTGCGGCTGCTTGCAGTACTGGTCGCCAGCGTGGTGCTGCTCGACTGTGTGGCACTCGAGACCGTACTGCTGGAAGTCGCGCTGCTCGTCTCGACCACGCTCACGCTGCTGCTCACTGTCGTGGAGCTCCCCGATGAAGCGGCCACGGACGTCGCACTGCTCGAGCTCGTACTCTCCGTCGTTGCCGTCCTCGTGCCCGAAGTTGTCGAGGCCGTGCTGCTCGAGGTCACACTGCTGCTCGTCTGAGACGAACTATCAGTCACCGAGACACTGGAAGTCCTGGTAATCGACGATGCCGTCGTGCTGCTGGTACCGCTCGAACTGGCCGTAGAAATGCTCGTCTCGGTCAACGTACTGCTGCCTGACACCGTCGTGCCCGTCAGCGCCGTGCCGCTGCTCGCAGTACTCGTCGCCAGCGTGATGCTGCTCGACTGTGTGGCACTCGAGACCGTACTGCTGGAAGTCGCGCTGCTTGTCTCGAACACGTTCACGCTGCTGCGCAGTGTCGTGGAGCTCCCCGTTGAAGCGGATCTCGTACTCTCCGTCGTTGCCGTCCTCGTGCCCGAAGTGGTCGTGGCCGTACTGCTCGAGGTCACACTGCTGCTCGTCCAAGACGAACTATCAGTCACCGAAGCACTGGAAGTCCTGGTAATCGACGATGCCGTCGTGCTGCTGGTACCGCTCGAACTGGCCGTAGAAGTGTTTGTCTCGGTCAACGTATTGCTGCCTGACACCGTCGTGCCCGTCAGCGACGTGCCGCTGCTCGCAGTACTCGTCGCCGGCGTGGTGCTGCTCGACTGTGTGGCACTCGAGACCGTACTGCTGGAAGTCGCGCTGCTCGTCTCGACCACGCTCACGCCGCTGCTCACTGTCGTGGAGCTCCCCGTTGAAGCGGGTGTGGACGTCGCACTGCTCGAGCTCGTACTCTCCGTCGTTGCCGTCCTCGTGCCCGAAGTGGTCGGGGCCGTGCTGCTCGAGGTCACACTGCTGCTCGTCTGAGACGAACTATCAGTCACCGAGACACTGGAAGTCCTGGTAATCGACGATGCCGTCGTGCTGCTGGTACCCCTCGAACTGGCCGTAGAAGTGCTTGTCTCGGTCAACGTACTGCTGCCTGACACCGTCGTGCCCGTCAGCGACGTGCCGCTGCTCGCGGTATTGGTTGCCAGCGTGGTGCTGCTTGACTGCGTGTCACTTGAAACCGGACCGACTGAAGTCGCGCTGCTCGTCTCGACCACGCTCACGCTGCTGCTCACTGCTGTGGTGCTTGAATGCGTGGTAGTACCACTCGTAGCGGTCGTACTCGCTGTCGTCGCCGTCATCGTGCTCGTGCCCGAAGTGGTCGGGGCCGTGCTGCTCGAGGTCACACTGCTGCTCGTCTGAGACGAACTATCAGTCACCGAGACACTGGAAGTCCTGGTAATCGACGATGCCGTCGTGCTGCTGGTACCCCTCGAACTGGCCGTAGAAGTGCTTGTCTCGGTCAACGTATTGCTGCCTGACACCGTCGTGCCTGTCAGCGACGTGCCGCTGCTCGCGGTATTGGTTGCCAGCGTGGTGCTGCTTGACTGCGAGTCACTTGAAACCGGACCGACTGAAGTCGCGCTGCTCGTCTCGACCACGCTCACGCTGCTGCTCACTGCTGTGGTGCTTGAATGCGTGGTAGTACCACTCGTAGCGGTCGTACTCGCTGTCGTCGCCGTCATCGTGCTCGTGCCCGAAGTGGTCGGGGCCGTGCTGCTCGAGGTCATACTGCTGCTCGTCTGAGACGAACTATCAGTCACCGAGACACTGGAAGTCCTGGTAATCGACGATGCCGTCGCGCTGCTGGTGCCGCTCGAACTGGCCGTAGAAGTGCTTGTCTCGGTCAACGTATTGCTGCCTGACACCGTCGTGCCTGTCAGCGACGTGCCGCTGCTCGCGGTATTGGTTGCCAGCGTGGTGCTGCTTGACTGCGAGTCACTTGAAACCGGACCGACTGAAGTCGCGCTGCTCGTCTCGACCACGCTCACGCTGCTGCTCACTGCTGTGGTGCTTGAATGCGTGGTAGTACCACTCGTAGCGGTCGTACTCGCTGTCGTCGCCGTCATCGTGCTCGTGCCCGAAGTGGTCGGGGCCGTGCTGCTCGAGGTCACACTGCTGCTCGTCTGAGACGAACTATCAGTCACCGAGACACTGGAAGTCCTGGTAATCGACGATGCCGTCGTGCTGCTGGTACCGCTCGAACTGGCCGTAGAAGTGCTTGTCGGGTCAACGTATTGCTGCCTGACACCGTCGTGCCCGTCAGCGACGTGCCGCTGCTCGCGGTATTGGTTGCCAACGTGGTGGTGCTTGACTGCGTGTCACTTGAAACCGGACCGACTGAAGTCGCGCTGCTCGTCTCGACCACGCTCACGCTGCTGCTCACTGCTGTGGTGCTTGAATGCGTGGTAGTACCACTCGTAGCGGTCGTACTCGCTGTCGTGAAGTCGCGCTGCTCGTCTCGACCACGCTCACGCTGCTGCTCACTGCTGTGGTGCTTGAATGCGTGGTAGTCACCACTCGTAGCGTGGTCGTAGCTCGCTCGTCGTCGCCGTCATCGTGCTCGTGCCCGAAGTGGTCGTGACCGTGCTGCTCGAGGTCACACTGCTGCTCGTCTGAGACGAACTATCAGTCACCGAGACACTGGAAGTCCTGGTAATCGACGATGCCGTCGTGCTGCTGGTACCGCTTGAACTGGCCGTAGAAGTGCTTGTCTCGGTCAACGTATTGCTGCCTGACACCGTCGTGCCCGTCAGCGACGTGCCGCTGCTCGCGGTATTGGTTGCCGGCGTGGTGCTGCTCGACTGTGTGGCACTTGAAACTGTACTAATTGAAGTCGCGCTGCTCGTCTCGCTCACACTGCTGCTCACTGTTGTCTTGGAGCTTACCGTGGAAGTGAAAGTGGCCGTCTCACTGCTCTTGCTGGTACTCACCGTTGTCGCCGTGCTCATGCTCGTGACCGTGTCCGCGCTGCTCGAGGTTACACTGCTGCTCGTCCGAAACGTACTGGTCTCTGTTGTCGTGGAGCTCGCAGTTGAAGCGGTTGTTTCAGTGTCAGTGCCTGTGCGTGTGGTCGTACTGCTTGACTGCGTCATACTCGACGCAGTGCTGGTCGAAGTCACGCTTGTGCTCATTCCAGTCGTACTGATAGTCGATGTCTCACTGAAGGAGCGTGTAGTCAAAGTCGGTGACGTGCTACTAGTCCGACTGCCACTCAACGAACTCGTCGTGCTGGCGGATGTGCTACCGGTTGTATCTGCAAAACTAAGCGAACTGATAGTGACGGTCAGGGTTGTCGAGCTGGTCGCGGTCCAACTCTGGGTGGAAGTGTCTGTCATACTGCTGATGCTACTGCTGCTCTCTGTGCTGCTTGTCCTGGTGGTCTGGGTGCTGGCGGTGACCTGGTACTTGACGTAGGTACACGCCCTGCTGTCCGTGCCCTCCCAATTCGCCACAATGTCACTGATCGCGCTGTAGCAATACCGCACACCAGTATCCGTACAATCGTTGTCATGCAGCGCAAAGCAATCAGGATCTGCGTTGCACGCCGCCTCAGCATTAGCCCTCGAGGTCGGGGAGCTGTAGCATAGACCCGACCACGCAGCACTGGCCACTCGCGGACCGTCAATGTAAAAAGCTTCAGTGGTGACAGTCGAGACAGTAACACTGACTGATGTGGTTGTACTGAGAGTGCTGGTGGTGATCTGGTACTTGACGTAAGTGCACGCCCTGCTGTTCGTGCCCTCCCAGTTCGCCACAATGTCACTGATCGCGCTGTAGCAATACCGCACACCAGTATCCGTACAATCTATGTCATGCAGCGCAATGCAATCAGGATCTGCGTTGCACGCCGCCTCAGCATTAGCCCTCGAGGTCGAAGAGCTGTAGCATAGACCCGACCACGCAGAACTGGCCACCCGCGGACCGTCAATGTACAAAGCTTCAGTGGATACGGTCGTCAGCGTCGTGGTACTCACCGTTGTCGCCGTGCTCATGCTCGTGACCGTGTCCGCGCTGCTCGAGGTTACACTGCTGCTCGTCCGAAACGTACTGGTCTCTGTTGTCGTGGAGCTCGCAGTTGAAGCGGTTGTTTCAGTGTCAGTGCCTGTGCGTGTGGTCGTACTGCTTGACTGCGTCATACTCGACGCAGTGCTGGTCGAAGTCACGCTTGTGCTCATTCCAGTCGTACTGATAGTCGATGTCTCACTGAAGGAGCGTGTAGTCAAAGTCGGTGACGTGCTACTAGTCCGACTGCCACTCAACGAACTCGTCGTGCTGGCGGATGTGCTACCGGTTGTATCTGCAAAACTAAGCGAACTGATAGTGACGGTCAGGGTTGTCGAGCTGGTCGCGGTCCAACTCTGGGTGGAAGTGTCTGTCATACTGCTGATGCTACTGCTGCTCTCTGTGCTGCTTGTCCTGGTGGTCTGGGTGCTGGCGGTGACCTGGTACTTGACGTAGGTACACGCCCTGCTGTCCGTGCCCTCCCAATTCGCCACAATGTCACTGATCGCGCTGTAGCAATACCGCACACCAGTATCCGTACAATCGTTGTCATGCAGCGCAAAGCAATCAGGATCTGCGTTGCACGCCGCCTCAGCATTAGCCCTCGAGGTCGGGGAGCTGTAGCATAGACCCGACCACGCAGCACTGGCCACTCGCGGACCGTCAATGTAAAAAGCTTCAGTGGTGACAGTCGAGACAGTAACACTGACTGATGTGGTTGTACTGAGAGTGCTGGTGGTGACCTGGTACTTGACGTAAGTGCACGCCCTGCTGTTCGTGCCCTCCCAGTTCGCCACAATGTCACTGATCGCGCTGTAGCAATACCGCACACCAGTATCCGTACAATCTATGTCATGCAGCGCAATGCAATCAGGATCTGCGTTGCACGCCGCCTCAGCATTAGCCCTCGAGGTCGAAGAGCTGTAGCATAGACCCGACCACGCAGAACTGGCCACCCGCGGACCGTCAATGTACAAAGCTTCAGTGGATACGGTCGTCAGCGTCGTGGTACTCACCGTTGTCGCCGTGCTCATGCTCGTGACCGTGTCCGCGCTGCTCGAGGTTACACTGCTGCTCGTCCGAAACGTACTGGTCTCTGTTGTCGTGGAGCTCGCAGTTGAAGCGGTTGTTTCAGTGTCAGTGCCTTTGCGTGTGGTCGTACTGCTTGACTGCGTCATACTCGACGCAGTGCTGGTCGAAGTCACGCTTGTGCTCATTCCAGTCGTACTGATAGTCGATGTCTCACTGAAGGAGCGTGTAGTCAAAGTCGGTGACGTGCTACTAGTCCGACTGCCACTCAACGAACTCGTCGTGCTGGCGGATGTGCTACCGGTTGTATCTGTAAAACTAAGCGAACTGATAGTGACGGTCAGGGTTGTCGAGCTGGTCGCGGTCCAACTCAGGGTGGAAGTGTCTGTCATACTGCTGATGCTACTGCTGCTCTCTGTGCTGCTTGTCCTGGTGGTCCGGGTGCTGGCGGTGACCTGGTACTTGACGTAGGTACACGCCCTGCTGTCCGTGCCCTCCCAATTCGCCACAATGTCACTGATCGCGCTGTAGCAATACCGCACACCAGTATCCGTACAATCGTTGTCATGCAGCGCAAAGCAATCAGGATCTGCGTTGCACGCCGCCTCAGCATTAGTTCTCGAGGTCGGGGAGCTGTAGCATAGACCCGACCACGCAGCACTGGCCACTCGCGGACCGTCAATGTAAAAAGCTTCAGTGGTGACAGTCGAGACAGTAACACTGACTGATGTGGTTGTACTGAGAGTGCTGGTGGTGACCTGGTACTTGATGTAGGTACACGCCCTGCTGTTCGTGCCCTCCCAATTCGCCACAATGTCACTGATCGCGCTGTAGCAATACCGCACACCAGTATCCGTACAATCGTTGTCATGCAGCGCAATGCAATCAGGATCTGCGTTGCACGCCGCCTCAGCATTAGTTCTCGAGGTCGGGGAGCTGTAGCATAGACCCGACCACGCAGAACTGGCCACCCGCGGACCGTCAATGTACAAAGCTTCAGTGGATACGGTCGTCAGCGTCGTGGTGACAGTCGAAGCAGTCACACTGACTGATGAGGTTGTACTGAGAGTGCTGGTGGTGACCTGGTACTTGATGTAGGTGCACGCCTTGCTGTCCGTGCCCTCCCAGTTCGCCACAATGTCACTGATCGCGCTGTAGCAATACCGCACACCAGTATCCGTACAATCGTTGTCATGCAGCGCAATGCAATCAGGATCTGCGTTGCACGCCGCCTCAGCATTAGCCCTCGAGGTCGGGGAGCTGTAGCATAGACCCGACCACGCAGCACTGGCCACCCGCGGACCGTCAATGTACAAAGCTTCTGTGGATACGGTTGTCACCGTCGTTGAAGCAGCGCTCGTGGTGCTGCTGGCGGATCTACTACTGGTTGTATCTGTAAAACTAAGCGAACTGATAGTGACGGTCCGGGTTGTCGAGCTGGTCGCGGTCCAACTCAGGGTGGAAGTGTCTGTCATACTGCTGATGCTACTGCTGCTCTCTGTGCTGCTTGTCCTGGTGGTCCGGGTGCTGGCGGTGACCTGGTACTTGACGTAGGTACACGCCCTGCTGTCCGTGCCCTCCCAATTCGCCACAATGTCACTGATCGCGCTGTAGCAATACCGCACACCAGTATCCGTACAATCGTTGTCATGCAGCGCAAAGCAATCAGGATCTGCGTTGCACGCCGCCTCAGCATTAGTTCTCGAGGTCGGGGAGCTGTAGCATAGACCCGACCACGCAGCACTGGCCACTCGCGGACCGTCAATGTAAAAAGCTTCAGTGGTGACAGTCGAGACAGTAACACTGACTGATGTGGTTGTACTGAGAGTGCTGGTGGTGACCTGGTACTTGATGTACACGCCCTGCTGTTCGTGCCCTCCCAGTTCGCCACAATGTCACTGATCGCGCTGTAGCAATACCGCACACCAGTATCCGTACAATCGTTGTCATGCAGCGCAATGCAATCAGGATCTGCGTTGCACGCCGCCTCAGCATTAGCCCTCGAGGTCGAAGAGCTGTAGCATAGACCCGACCACGCAGCACTGGCCACCCGCGGACCGTCAATGTACAAAGCTTCTGTGGATACGGTTGTCACCGTCGTTGAAGCAGCGCTCGTGGTGCTGCTGGCGGATCTACTACTGGTTGTTTCTGTAAAACTGAGCGAACTGATAGTGACGGTCAAGGTTGTCGAGCTGGTCGCGGTCCAACTCAGGGTGGAAGTGTCTGTCATACTGCTGATGCTACTGCTGCTCTCTGTGCTGCTTGTACTGGTGGTCCGGGTGCTGGTGGTGACCTGGTACTTGACGTAAGTGCACGCCTTGCTGTCCGTGCCCTCCCAGTTCGCCACAATGTCACTGATCGCGCTGTAGCAATACCGCACACCAGTATCCGCACAATCGTTGTCATGCAGCGCAATGCAATCAGGATCTGCGTTGCACGCCGCCTCAGCATTAGCCCTCGAGGTCGGGGAGCTGTAGCATAGACCCGACCACGCAGAACTGGCCACTCGCGGACCGTCAATGTACAAAGCTTCAGTGGATACGGTTGTCAGCGTCGTGGTTACAGTCGAGACAGTCACACTGACTGATGTGGTTGTACTGAGAGTGCTGGTGGTGACCTGGTACTTGATGTAGGTACACGCCCTGCTGTTCGTGCCCTCCCAGTTCGCCACAATGTCACTGATCGCGCTGTAGCAATACCGCACACCAGTATCCGTACAATCGTTTCATGCAGCGCAATGCAATCAGGATCTGCGTTGCACGCCGCCTCAGCATTAGCCCTCGAGGTCGAAGAGCTGTAGCATAGACCCGACCCGACCACGCAGAACTGGCCACTCGCGGACCGTCAATGTAAAAAGCTTCAGTGGTGACAGTCGTGAGAGTGCTGGTGGTGACCTGGTACTTGACGTAAGTGCACGCCCTGCTGTTCGTGCCTTCCCAGTTCGCCACAATGTCACTGATCGCGCTGTAGCAATACCGCACACCAAGATCCGTACAATCGTTGTCATGCAGCGCAATGCAATCAGGATCTGCGTTGCACGCCGCCTCAGCATTAGCCCTCGAGGTCGAAGAGCTGTAGCATAGACCCGACCACGCAGAACTGGCCACTCGCGGACCGTCAATGTATAGAGCTCCGGTCGATGTTGATGTGATAGCGGTTGTCGAGCTTTGCGTGGTCGTCGCTGCCGTGATTGAAGTTGTGATGCTTTCCGAACTAGTCGCTGCGATAGTTGTCGAGCTGATCGCGGTCCTACTCAGGGAAGACGTGTCTGTCTTACTACTGATGCTACTGCTGCTTTCTGTGCTGCTTGTCGTGGTGACCTGGTACTTGATGTAAGTGCACGCCCTGCTGTCCGTGCCCTCCCAGTTCACCACAATGTCACTGATCGCGCTGTAGCAATACCGCACGCCAGTATCCGTACAATCGTTGTCGTGCAGCGCAAAGCAATCAGGATCTGCGTTGCACACCGCCTCAGCATTAGCCCTCGAGGTCGGGGAGCTGTAGCATAGACCCGACCACGCAGCACTGGCCACTCGCGGACCGTCAATGTAAAAAGCTTCAGTGGTGACAGTCGAGACAGTAACACTGACTGATGTGGTTGTACTGAGAATGCTGGTGGTGACCTGGTACTTGACGTAAGTGCACGCCCTGCTGTCCGTGCCCTCCCAGTTCACCACAATGTCACTGATCGCGCTGTAGCAATACCGCACGCCAGTATCCGTACAATCGTTGTCGTGCAGCGCAGAGCAATCAGGATCTGCATTGCACGCCGCCTCAGCATTAGCCCTCGTGGTCGGGGAGCTGTAGCATAGACCCGACCACGCAGAACTGGCCACTCGCGGACCGTCAATGTACAAAGCTTCAGTGGATACGGTTGTCAGCGTCGTGGTGACAGTCGAGACAGCCACATTGACTGATGTGGTTGTGCTGAGAGTGCTGGTGGTGACCTGGTACTTGACGTAAGTGCACGCCCTGCTGTCCGTGCCCTCCCAGTTCGCCACAATGTCACTGATCGCGCTGTAGCAATACCGCACACCAGTATCCGTACAATCGACGTCATGCAGCGCAATGCAATCAGGATCTGCGTTGCACGTCGCCTCAGCATTAACCCTCGAGGTCGAAGAGCTGTAGCATAGACCCGACCACGCAGAACTGGCCACTCGCGGACCGTCAATGTACAAAGCTTCAGTGGTGACAGTCGTGGTTGTACCGAGAGTGCTGGTGGTGACCTGGTACTTGACGTAAGTGCACGCCCTGCTGTCCGTGCCCTCCCAGTTCGCCACGATGTCACTGATCGCGCTGTAGCAATACCGCACACCAAGATCCGTACAATCTATGTCATGCAGCGCAATGCAATCAGGATCTGCGTTGCACGCCGCCTCAGCATTAGTCCTCGAGGTCGAAGAGCTGTAGCATAGACCCGACCACGCAGAACTGGCCACTCGCGGACCGTCAATGTACAAAGCTTTTGTTGTGCTGAGAGTGCTGGTGGTGACCTGGTACTTGACGTAAGTGCACGCCCTGCTGTCCGTGCCCTCCCAGTTCGCCACGATGTCACTGATCGCGCTGTAGCAATACCGCACACCAAGATCCGTACAATCTATGTCATGCAGCGCAATGCAATCAGGATCTGCGTTGCACGCCGCCTCAGCATTAGTCCTCGAGGTCGAAGAGCTGTAGCATAGACCCGACCACGCAGAACTGGCCACTCGCGGACCGTCAATGTATAGAGCTCCGGTCGATGTTGATGTGATAGCGGTTGTCGATGTGGAAGTACCATCAAGACGTCGACCGTCGGGGTACAGAGCATCTCGCGTGCTTGTTATTCCGGTGCTGGTGGCGACCTGGCGTCGCATAGATCAACACAAGACATGTGAGAGAGCGCGCCCACAGCGCCGACGGAAAGGGGGGGGAGCCCCCCTTAGCTACCCCCCCCTCCCTTCCACCTCCCCTGCTGGAAGCCCCCCCCCTCTCCCTCCCCCCTTTTTCGCTCCCCCCTGAAGCTACCGCCCCCTCCCCCCCTTTCGCCACTCCGAAGCTACCCCCCCCTCCTTATGAGACGACGTCGGGGCGAAGACGAAGTCAGGGCGAGCGTCCGTCGAGGACCTCCGAGGCCCGGCGGCCCTGCCTGGAAGATGGCTCGGGCGCGGCGGCCTCCTCGGAGAGCGTTCTGGAACGCTCCGCAGCGGGATCCCTGCCCGACGGGACCCCCCTCACTGGCGCGGGGAGCAGCGGCGCCTCACGGCGCCGCCAGCCGTGAGGAGGAGGAGGAGGAGGAAGGAGGAGGAGGAGAGGGGGAGGCGGGGGAGGAGGAGGAGGAGGAAAAACGCGGCGAGCAGGAGGGGGGGGCTTCGCTACCCCCCCCTTCCCTTGACCCCCTTCTGCCGGAAGCTACCTCCCCCCTTTGGTTCCAAAAGGCGGGGGGGAGCTTAGCAGTCCCCCCCCTTTCCTTTTCGGGACCCGGGCTCCCCCCCCCCCCCCCTCCCCCCCTTGCGCACAGGGCGGGGGATACTTAGCTACCCCCCCCCCCCCTTCCCTTGACCCCCCTCTGCCGGAAGCTCCCCCCCCCCTCCCCCCCCTCACTTCTTCCAAAGGGGGGGGATCTTACCAAGGGCGGGGGGCTTAGCAGCCCCCCCCCTCCCCCCTTTCGGCACCCGGGCTACCCCCCCCCTTCCCCTCCTTAGGAAAAGGAAGGAGGGGGCTTAGCTACCCCCCCCCCCCACCCTCCTCTGCCGGAAGCTCCCCCCCCCCTCCCCCCCTTTACTTCCAAATGGAACGGCAGACTTGGCAGCCCCCCCTTCCCTTTCGGCACCCGGGACCCCCCCACACCTTACGATATGGGATGGCGGAGCATAGCAACATCCCTCCCTCCCTTGACCTTCCTCTGGCGGAAGCCCCCCCCTCCTCAACGTTTTTCCTCATCCCTTGCAGGAAACTATCCCCCCCCCTTCCAAAAGGAGGAAAGGCGGCTTAGCTACCACCCCCTCCCTTGAACTCCCCCTGCCGGACGATCCTCCCCCGTCGCCGTCTTCGTTGCCGTCGCCGTCGCTCGACGTCCTCGTACGACGCCGTCGTCGTCCTCATCGTCGTTGTCGCCGCCGTCGCCGTCATTGTCGCCGTCTTCGTACGACCTCGTCGTGGTCGTCACGACGAGGACGAGGTCATGCGAAGACAGCGACGGACGACGGACGACGCGCGACCAAAAAGGTGATTGGAAGAAAAAAACAAACAACAAAACACAAACAAACAAAAAACGGGCGCGCCGCTAGATGCCCCAGCAAGGGGGGGGGTCGGACCCCCCCCCTTTCTCTGGTCCGTCGTCGGCGGACCCCCCCCCGTCCCCCCCTTTTCCGATCCGTCGTCCCCGACCCCCCCCTCCTCCCCCCTCTCAAAAGGGGGGGAGGGGCGGTGTGGACCCCCCCCCCATCCCCCTCTCTGGACTCGAAAATCCGTCCCTTGGCCACGCCGCCTCCCTGGCTCAAGAACCCGATCCGTGCCACCCTACTACCTTGACCCCCAACCCCCAACCCTGACACCCCAGCCCTGACACCCAAACCCTACACCGCCGCGAAGCCATGGCCGCCTCGATACGGGCGCTCAGCTCCGAGGGGGCGACCTGGAATCGGCGATGCAAAGCCGATACATCGGCGATGCGTCGTCTTATCTGATTAGCAAGAGCATCGCCATCGTCGCCGACGCGTTGGGTTCAGTATGTCATGGGTCATGGGCGGGCGGGATACGTCCAGCGGGCTTCGAGTGGGGCTACTGGGCCCCTACGCTAACCCTTACCCCAACTCCCCAACCCCTAATCCTAACCCCGACCCCCCCATAACAATCACTCGCCAGAAGAATATGGCTTCCCGCAAAAGCAGGATGCGATGGTGATGCCAATATATCGGGCTCACTGTCTATGGTGGGTATATCAGACATGCTTCTCAAGATCCGAGAGAGCGTGATCCACCGCCGCTCTACTGTGGAACATTCCCCCCCTCTTCCTCCGGAGCCCGGGGTTCCCTCCCCCCTCCGAAAATCCCCCCCTTGCTGGACCCCCCCTGACCCCCCCCCCCCCCCCCCCCCCCCCCTCCCCCCCCCTCACCCCGGTTCGAAACCCCCCCTCCCCCCCTTCGAAAACCGGAGGCGGGGGTCACTACCGGTTCGAACCCCTCCCCCCCCCCCTCTCACCGCCGCTCCTGGTCCCTCCCTACCACCGTCCTCACCACATCCCCCACTGTTGTTCCCAGCACCACTGTCCTCACCACCACTGTCCCCACTGGTTCCACCACCGCCCCTACTGTCCCCACCAGTGCCACCACCACTGTCGCACTGTCCCCACTGTCCCCACCACTGTTCCCACCACGGTTCCACTCTCCCCACTTTCTCCACGGCCCCAACCACTGCCCGACTATCCCCACTGTCCCCACTGTCCCACTGACTCCTCCGCTGTCCCACTTAGCTGTCCCACTGTTCCCACCACTGTCCCCACTGTCCCCACCACTGTCCCCACTGTGCCTCTGTCCCATTGTCCCACCGCCGTCCTCGCCACTGCCTTCACCACTGTCCCCACCACCACTGTACCCTCCACTGTCTTACTGTTTCCACCACATCCCCACTGTCCCCACACCACTGTCCCCACCACCACCGTCCCCACCATTGTCCCACTCTCCCCACTGTTCCCACCATTGTCCTCACCACTGTCCCCACCACTACCGTCCCCACCACTGTCCCACTGCCCCCACCACTGTCCCGCTGTCCCCTCACCACTTGCCCCCACCACCACCGCCCCCACCATTGCCCGCGCCCCCCCCCCCAATTTTTCGAGGGGGGGGTTCGAACCGGTAGTGACCCCCCCCCGCTCTTTTCATGATGGACTGGGGGGGGGGAAGGGGTTCGAACCGGTAGTGACCCCCCTCCGGTTTTCCGAAAGGGGGGGGGGGGGGAGGGGTTCAAACCGGCAGTGGCCCCCCCCCCGGTTTTCCGCCAGCAGCGGTAGAACAAGCTCTTTCCAAGATCCAATAATTCGCAAAGCTGATATAATAGGATGAGGGAGCAAAGGAGGAGCGGGCGACGACGAGGCGACGACCCCGGCACCCACCTTCCCTCGCGCGCAGAGCGCGTTCGATCCTTCAACTTACAGCGGCGGGCGGCGGCAGGCGGCGACAGAAAGCGAGCGGGGAGAGAAGAATAACAACTCCCCCCGAGGCGGGGCGTGTAGGCCCGGAGTTTTAGCCCAGCCCCTGGCACCCGCCGAGACACTTTGGCCCCCCCCAGCGCCAACCCCCAATAATTTTACGGTGCCAAGGGAAGGGGCGCCGACGCAGCCGTTAGATCCCTCCTCGGGGGTAAACCGAACGGGACCGACGCACCCCATAAATAAACCCCTCGGCATCAAAAGTGAACGCAGAAGTCCACGCGCACACACTTTGCCCCGTCCTTCCAGCAAGCAGCGCAGCGGCGGCTTTGCCGCTGTCGGCATTTCTCTTCGCCTCGGAATTACACGACCGCTGTAGCCAAACACGTCGTAATATTCATCTGCAGTCCACCGCTGCGATTTCCTTTTAGCATCACTGTCCACCAATTTCCCACCATTTTTGAGATCAGCACAGTGGTGGGTGGTGCCCCACTGGCCCTGATACTGGCCCCAGTGGTAATCCTTTACGCTTCGCGCATCCCCACCAGCCCATCTCACAGCAGCAACTCTCGCGAAGCATGCCGACAGTCGTGTTTTTCAGGCGTGTGTCCGCTTGGCCCCGCATATCTCCCCTGTTCCTCCTTCCCCCCGCCTCCTTGCACATCGTCCTTGTGGGGGGGGGGCGGGAGAAGGACGAGGCGGAGGAGGAGGGAGAGAAAGCGCCCCTCGTGACTTGAGTCGTTTTCTCGTCCTGGTGTGAGTCGTTCGGGCCCTTCTTCCTGGTGTGAGTCGTTCGGGCTCTTCGTGGTGTGAGTCGTTCGGGCTCTTCGTCCTGGTGTGAGTCGTTCGGGCTTCTCGTGGTGTGAGTTGTTCGGGCCCCTCATCCTGGTGTGAGTCGTTGGGGCCCCTCCTCCTGGTGTGACTCGTTCGGGCTCCTCGTGGTGTGAGTCGTTCGGGGCCCGCGTCGTGGTGTGAGTCGTTCGGGCTCCTCGTGGTGTGAGTCGTTCGGGCGCCTCGTCCTGGTGAGAGTCGTTCGGGCCCCTCCTTGTGGCGTGAGTCGTTCGGGCTCTTCGTGGGGCCTCTCGGGGGCCTCTTGGAGCCTCTTGGGGCCTCTTGGGGGCCTCTTGGGGGCCTCTTGGGGGCCTCTTGGGGGCCTCGTGGGGCCTCTGGGGGCCTCTTGGGAGCCTCTTGGGGCCATCTTGGGGGCCTCTGGGGGCCTCTTGGGGGCCTCTTGGGGGCCTCTTGGGAGGCTCCGGGGGGCCTCTTGGGGCCATCTTGGGGCCTCTTGCGACCTCCTCAGAAGCGCAAAGGAGCGCTGCCCCCTGACAAGGACAAAATGAGGCCAAAACCTTCGTAAAATCAATGATCTTGCTATGGAGGACGAGGAGCGCTGGCCCCTCAGAAAGCCAAAATGGGGCCAAAACCATAGTAAAATCACTGTTTTTGGTTTTAAAGAAGAGCGAAAGGGCCAAACTCGGCCCCCCCGTCGGGGCCAGAATCCTCGTGACGGTCGTCGTTTTTTGGCCCTCCCAGGAATCAAAAAAGACCCCCCTGACTACGCCCCGGACTCCCTGTCCAGGTCCAGGGGGAGGGGGCAGGGGGAGGGGTAAACCCCTCCCCGAAGGGGAAGAAGGGGGTTGAGGACAGAGCGGGCTCTCTAAACCACTCACGCCCGAAGGGCTGGTGGGATATTTCTCTGGGTCAAGCGCCCGCTCGACGACTGGCGCTCCACCATCTGTCCTTCTTGTCCTTGACGTGCCAAAGGCGTCGGCTGCCTTGCGTCGATCCAACATCGCGGCTCCTGCTGCTCGGCCTCGGCGGCGGCGCTGGCGGCGCCTCGCGCCGCGCGGGCGGCCCGTGCGCGCCGTCGCGGAGGGCGCGGCCATCGGGGGCCGCAAGCAGCGCGTCGCTCCCCGTCGGCCGCGCGGGAGGAGTAGGAAGAGCAGAAGGATCACCGACTGAGTCGGCGCCTCCAACGCCCTCTTCTTCAACATCCATGGGCCCTAACAGGTTCGGTGCAAGAACAACGCCGTGCAAATCGGAAGCTGTTCCCTCTGGACTCATAGCCCCGTCAGACCCGGAGGCCGCAGTGCCTTGCTCCAGGCCGCAATGCCTTGCATCAGGTCGCCGACGGATGTTCCAGCGCGATGGCGCTGCCAGAGCTCGTCGAGCTGCCCGCGATCGCGCTGCCAGGGCCCAACGCGCTGCATGCGGAGCTGCCGCTGGAATCAATCGCGTTGCTCGCGGCCGCGCTGCTGGAACCCGTCGCGCTGCTCACGATGGCGCTGCCGGCGCCCGTCGCGCTGCTAACGATGGACCTGCTGGAACCCGTCTTGCTGCGCGGGGTCGCGCTGCTGGAGTCTGTCGCGCTGCCCGGGGCGCTGCTGCTGGAGTCCGTCGGGCCGCCCGCGACCTCGCCGTTGAAATCTGCCGCGCCGCGCCCGGGCGCGCCGCAGCGCTGCAAGTGTTAGCCCGCGGCGGTACTGCTGCAGTCCGTCGCGCCGCGCGCGATGGCGCTTCTGGAGTCCGCCGCGCTGCTCGCAAGGAACATGTCGTGCAGCTCCCAATGCCGCTGGTGGACTCCGCCGAGCTGCCCGCCGTCTCGCTGCAGTCCACCGCGATGCTCACGATGGCGCGGCTGAAATTGTTGACGCTTCGCGTATCCCCACCAGCCCATCCAGAAACGATGCTCAGGGGAGTTGAGGTGATCAGGGAAGTCGGGGAGCATGCAGAATAACAAAGGGCGGGGGAAGCTGTCACAGACCCCGAGAGGGGGAGGATGGAAGAGGAGTCGTCGTCGTCGTCGTCGTCGGAGGAGGAGGAGGAGGAGGAGGAGGGGGAAGAGGAGGAGGAGGAGGAGGAGGAGGAGGACGGAGAAGGAGGAAGAATCGGAGGAGGAGGAGGAGGAGGGGAAGGAGCTTCTTGGGGGTCTTTTGAGGGCCTCTTGGAGGGCTTTTTGGGCGCCTTGGGGCATCTTGGGCGCCTCTTGGGACCCTCTTGAGGCGCTCTGGGGAGCCTTCGGGGCGCTTTTGGGGCCATCTTGGAGGGAGTCGATCAAACAAGAGGGGGGGTTTAATTAGCGTCCCCCCTCGGAAGCCCCTAAAATCGCCTCTTGGACCCCTCTTGGAACGCTCTTGGAGTGCTCTTGGGCGCTCTTGGGGCCGTCTTGGGGCTCTTTTGGGGCTCTCTTGGGGCCCTCTTGGGCCATCTTGGAGCCATCTCCAGGCCTCGGATGGCCATCGGAAGCGAAAAGGCGAGAAAGCAAAAATCATTGATTTTCCTTAGGTTTTGGGACGATTTTGGCCTCTTCGGGGCCTCCTTGGGGAGCTGTTTGGCCACTTGGAGTTATCTTGGGGCCGTCTTTGGGCTTCTTGGAACCATCTTAGGAGCCATCGTGAGCGATCTTGCGCTATCTTGAGCCATCTTGGAGCTCATCTTGGGTTCTCTGAGGCGCTCTTGGAGCCGTCTTGGGCCATCTTGGACGCTCTAACTACCCGCGGCCCCCCCCGTCCAGGTCCAGGGGAGGGGGTAGGGGGAGGGGTAAACCCCTCCCCAAGGGGGAAGAGGGAGGGGTGGAAGAGGATCTGCTCTAGACCACCTACGCCCAGAGGGCTGGTGGGATTCCCCATGCTGCTCACTATCGTGCTGCTGGCGGAGCCCGTAGTGTGGCTCGCGATCGTGCTGCTGGAGGCCGCCGGGCTGCTCGCGACGATGCTGCTGGCGCCCGCCATGCTGCTGCGTTGGAGTCCGCCGTGCTGCCCGCGGTCGCGTTGCTGGGGTCCGTCGCGCCGCCCGTGGTGGCGCTTGTGGCGCAGCACGCGTTGTCGTTGCTGAGGTCAGTCGCGCTGCTCGCGATCTCGCTGCTGGAATCAGCCGCGCCGCGCCTGGGCGCGCTGCTGAGGTCCGCCGTGCTGTTCACGATGGCGCTGCTGGTGGTGTCCGACGCGCTGCGCATGGTCGCGCTCCTGGAGCCCGTCGCCCTGCTTGCGTTGACGCTTGTGGGGTCCGTCATGCTGCGCGCGATCGCACTGCTGGGGTCCGTCGCGCCGCTCGCAACGCTGCCGCTGGTGTTGCCACGCTGCTCACGGGCGTGCTGCTGGAGCCCGTCGCGCCGCTTGCAATGGTACTGCTAACGCCCGCCCTGCTGCTCACAATGGCGCTGCTGGAGTCCGTCGCGCTCTTCGCGGTCGTGCACCTGGAGTCCAGTCATCGTGCTGCTTGCGATGGTTGGTGCTGCTGGAGTCCGTCATGCTGCTCGCGATAGTGCTGTTGGGGTTCGTCGTGCTGTTCGCGACGCTGCTGATGGAGTCCGCCATGCCGCTCGCGATCGCGTTGCTGGCGTCCGCGGTGCTGCTCGAGATGCAGCCGCAGGGGTCCGCCATGCTGCTCACGGTCGTGACGCTGTGGTCCGTCGCGCTGATTTCGATGGCGCTGATTGCGCCCATGATGCGCGCGCTGGTGCTACTGGAGTCCGTCCTGCACCTCGCAGTCGCGCCGCTGGCGTCAGTCGCGCAGCCCCCTGTTGGAGTCCGTCGTGCTGCTCGCGATTTCGCTGCAAGAATCCGCCCCACTAAGCGCGGGCGCGCTGCTGGGGTCCGTCGCGCCGGCCACGATGGCGCCGCTGGAGCCCGCCCCGCTGCTCGCGGTCGCGCAGCTGGAATCCGACGTGCAGCCCCGGACGCCGCGGCCGGAAGCCGTCATGCTGCTCAAGATCTCGCTGCTGGAATCGGCGGCGCTGCGCCCGGACGCGCCGCTGAGGTGCGAGGCGCCGTTCGCGATGGCGCTGCTGGCGTTCGTCGCGCTGCTCACGGTCGCGATGCTGAAGTCCGTCCTACAGCTCACGGTAGTGCTGCTGGAGTCCGTCGCGCAGCGCGCGATCGGGCTGCTGGGTTTCGTCGGGCTGCTCACAGTTCTGCGGCTGGAGTCCGTCATACTGCGCGCGGCCGCGCTGCTGGAGTCCGCCGCGCTACTCACTATGGTGCTCCTGGCGCCCGTCCTGAGTCCTTCGCGCGGCTCGCGGCTTCGCACCTGGAGTCCATTGTGCTGCTCGCGATCGAGCTGATGGGGTCCGTCGTGCCGGTCGCGATGATGCAGCCAGATTTCGTCGCGCTGCTCGCGATCGTGCTGCTGGAGTCCACCGCGCCGCTAACGATGGCGCTGCTGGAGTCCAGCTGCTGGAATCCACCATGCCGCTCGCTATCGCGCTGCTGGGGTCCGTCGTGCCGCTCGCGACGCTGCCGCCTGAGTCCGTTGTTGCGCTCGCGATCGCGCTGCTGGAGTCTGTCGAGCAGCTCGCGATGGTGTTGCTGGCGCCCGTGATGCTGCTCGCGAGGAGGCTGCTGGAGCTCGTCCTGCTGCGCGCGCACGCGCTGCCGGGGCCCGTCGCGCTGCTCGTGAACGCGCCGCTGGAGTCTGTCGCGCTGCTGGAATCTGTCGTGGCGATCACGCACCCGCTGGAGACGGTCACGCTGCCCCCTGTCACGCTGCTGGATACCGTCGTGCTGCGCGCGATGGAGCAGCTGAACGTCCGTCGCGCTTCTCGCGGTCGCGATGCTAAAGGCTGCCCTGCCGCTCGCGATGGCGCTGTTGCAGTCCGTCGCGCTGCCAGGTTCCGCAGGTGCCCTTCGCGTAGCCCATGGTAGTGCTGCTGGGGCCTGTCGCGTTGTCCGTGCGCGTTCTGGTGGAGCCCGCCCTGCTGCTCACGACCAGGCCGCAGAGGTCCGTCGCGCCGCTCGCAACGCCGCCGCTGGAGACAATCATGCAGCGCGCGGTCTCGTTGCAGGGGCCCGTGGGCCCAGCGCGCGGCCGCGGCCAGCGGGGGGCGCGCGCGCGCCGCCCGCGCGGCCAGCGCGGCGGCCCGGGCACTTGCGCAGGCGGCCGCCCAGAAGCCGGCGGCTACCGCAGCCTCGGCCGCGCCCGCGGCAGCGCGGCAGGCAGGTGGCGCGGCCGCGGCAGGGCCGGCGTCGGCCGGCTCGCGGGCAAAGCCAGCGGCGGGGCGGCGGCGGCGGCCGCGCCTGTCAGCCCCGGCGGCAGCAGCAGGGGGGCCGGCGGCGCCGCCCGGGACGCTGGGCCCGAAGGCGGCGCCAGGGCGGCCGCGGTGCCCACGGCGCCCGCAGCGCTCGCGGCTCCAGCGGCGCCAGCGGCGCGCCGGCGGCAGCGGCGGCGCCCACGGCGACAAAAGCGCCCAGCCACGGCGCGGGCAGCGCCAGCGGCGCTAGCCGGCGGCGCGCGCGACGCGGGCCGCCCAGGCGGCCGCCCGCTGGCGCCGCCACCGCGCCGCCGCGGCCTCCATGGCGGCGCCAGCCGGCGCGCCCGCCGGCCGCGGGCCCAAGCAGCGCAGGCCACCTCGAGCCAGAGCAGCTCGTGCCAAAGGGGCCACGGAAGCGGCGGACCCACGCGGGGCGCATCATTGGATGATGGAAGGCCTAAAGAAAGAAAGGGAAAAAAGAGACCGCGCACAGGTCGTGAACTGACGACGCGAACAGCAGCAATCAGAGCGCGATGTAGAGCAGGGGCAGAACCGAGGCTCCCAGCGAGAGGGCAACGCGTCCACTGCTGCGGACTGGCCATGCTCAGGGGCTGGGGTATGCGCCCAGGAAGGGCACATCCCATGCTTGATACTGCAGGTAGGGTGAGCTCATCATACATGCCAGAATGCTCGACTGCTGGTGGAAGAGCGCATCAGGTCAGAGTCGGATGTGCTGGAGTCCTAGAACATATAAAAGAATAGCATTACTTCTAGGTGTGCAACCGAACCAATGCACAGTTGCCTAGCCCGAAATTGAACGGTAGCAATCCCACCAGCCCTCTGGGCGTAGGTGGTCTAGAGCAGATCCTCTTCCACCCCTCCCTCTTCCCCCTTGGGGAGGGGTTTACCCCTCCCCCTACCCCCTCCCCTGGACCTGGACGGGGGGGGCCGCGGGTAGTTAGAGCGTCCCAGATGGCCCAAGACGGCTCCAAGAGCGCCTCAGAGAACCCAAGATGAGCTCCAAGATGGCTCAAGATAGCGCAAGATCGCTCGAGATGGCTCCTAAGATGGTTCCAAGAAGCCCAAAGACGGCCCCAAGATAACTCCAAGTGGCCAAACAGCTCCCCAAGGAGGCCCCGAAGAGGCCAAAATCGTCCCAAAACCTAAGGAAAATCAATGATTTTTGCTTTCTCGCCTTTTCGCTTCCGATGGCCATCCGAGGCCTGGAGATGGTTCCAAGATGGCCCAAGAGGGCCCCAAGAGAGCCCCAAAAGAGCCCCAAGACGGCCCCAAGAGCGCCCAAGAGCACTCCAAGAGCGTTCCAAGAGGGGTCCAAGAGGCGATTTTAGGGGCTTCCGAGGGGGGACGCTAATTAAACCCCCCCTCTTGTTTGATCGATCTCCTCCAAGATGGCCCCAAGAAGCGCCCAGGAAGCCCCAAGAGGTCCCAAGATGGCCCCAAAATGGCCCCAAGAGGCCCCCAAGAGGCCCCCCGGAGGCCCCCAAGAGACCCCCAAGAGGCCCCAAGAGCCCCCCCAGATGCACCCAAGATGCTCCAAGAGGCCTCGGCGAGAATGCCTAATCATTGATTCTACACAGGTTTTAGCCACATGGAGGCCTCTTGGGGGGGGGCACGGATTAAGATGACTCCAAGAGCGTCTGGGAGAGCCCAAAATGACCTCCAAGATGGCTCAAGATATCCCAAGATGTCTCATAATGGCTTCCTCTGTGTGCTGCCCACTTCTCTGATCGAGGCAATTCCTCTGGGCATCGTTTCTGGATGGGCTGGTGGGGATTCGCGAAGCGACAACAATTTGAAATGGGGGCCTTGTATATCGCGGTTTGCCTGAGTTCACCGACGGTAAAATGGAGCCGAACATATAGATTACGTAGACTTCTGTGGCATGGCAAGAAAGTGGCACGAGCCGACGGGCTGCTGTAAGAGAAGCAGGCTCGCTGCTCCGAGTACGCATTCGCACACCGACTGTGGGCTCAAAAGCACGAGGGCCCCTGGGGTGTGATGGGCAGGGTCGCCTTCCCGCTTCGCATACCGAAGTCGTGCAAGAACGTTGTCCACGCCCATTGGCGAGCCTGCGCGTCCTCCTGGAGCCAGTCCAACACTCGCGCGAAAAGGGCCGCGTGCGGGTCGGCGCTGACGGCACCCCCAAGTCTCCGAGGGCATGTTTTCTCCCGTCCGGGTATTTTTCCTCAACTTCCACATCCGGGGCCCGTTGCCGACCCCCTTGGCCGCCAGTAGCGGATCCGGGGCGCAAAACTACGCATGGGGACGGGGGTCGGCGGCAGCCGCCGCTGCCAACAGGCGGGCGCTGCTGCTGGCGGAAAAACGAATTACCATGGGTGGCGCCGCCGCCGCGTTGCTGCGCACAGCGCTTGTCTCTCCCGAAGTGGCCAGTGCCGAAGCACACAAGCGAGGAAAAGGAATGGGAACTTTCGCGCTACCTCACGCGGGAGGCTTGCGCGCGAATGTCGGCGCAGTCGGCCCCGTTTTCTCCTGTTCTCTAACACGGAGCAGGCACGGCACCCGGCGATCCCACCTAGGCAAGAACGCCTGGCCTGGCCGGGCAGTCGGCCGGCCTGGCGGGCGCCCCTGACAGGACGTTGTATTGGAGCGCCCGAAGGAGCGTGCCAGCGCGCTTCCCTGGGGCGCCCGAAGGCCCCCCTTCTCCGGCGCGGCCGAAAACATCAGCCACGGCGCTTCTCTTGCCAGAATTATCCCAGTGCGACCCTACCTAGGAGTTGGACCCCCCAGGAAAGCAGCGCTAGTAGTAACAGTAACGCTAAGCTAAAGCTAAGCTAAAGCTAAGCTAAAGCTAAGCCACAGCTAAGCTAAAGCTAAGCTAAAGCTAAGCTAAAGCTAAGCTAAAGCTAAGCTACAGCTAAGCTAAAGCTAAGCTACAACTGAGCGAAAGCTGAGCTACAGCTAAGCTAAAGCTGAGCAGCAGCTAAGCTAAAACTAAGCTACAGCTAAGCTAAAGCTAAGCTAAAGCTAAGCTAAAACTAAGCTACAGCTAAGCTACAGCTAAGCTACAGCTAAGCTACAGCTAAGCTAAAGCTAAGCTAAAGTTGAGCTAAAGCTGAGCTAAACGCTAAGCGAAAAGCTAAGCGAAACGCTAAGCTAAAGCTAAGCTACAGCTAAGCTAAAACTAAGCTAAAGCTAAGCTAAAGCTAAAGCTAAAGCTGAAGCTAAAGCTAAAGCTCCCAGGGGACTGGGGGGAACCGCGGGGTGGGGACTGGGGGAACCGCCCGGGGCGCTTTCCACTGCCCGGCCCCTTTAAGCTAAGAGAAGAAGAACCCTTCTAGGCAGAGCCGAGGTAGGGAAAAACGGAAAATTATCCCAGTGCGACCCTACCTAGGAGTTGGAACCCCTAGGAAAGCAGCATGAATAGTAACAGTAACGCTAAGCTAAAGCTAAGCTACAGCTAAGCTACAGCTAAGCTAAAGCTAAGCTACTAAGCTAAGCTAAGCTAAAGCTAAGCTAAAGCTAAGCTAAGCTAAAGCTAAGCTAAAGCTAAGCTAAAGCTAAGCTAAAGCTAAGCTAAAGCTAAGCTAAAGCTAAGCTAAAGCTAAGCTAAAGCTAAGCTAAAGCTGAGCAGCAGCTAAGCTAAAACTAAGCTACAGCTAAGCTAAAGCTAAGCTAAAACTAAGCTGCTGCTAAGCTAAAGCTAAGCTACAGCTAAGCTAAAGCTAAACTAAAGCTAAGCAAAAGCTACGCTAAACGCTAAGCTAAACGCTAAGCGAAACGCTAAGCTAAAGCTAAGCTACAGCTAAGCTAAAGCTAAGCTAAAGCTAAAGCTAAAGCTAAAGCTCCCAGGGGACTGGGGGGAACCGCGGGGTGGGGACTGGGGGAACCGCCCTGGGCGCTTTCCACTGCCCGGCCCCTTTAAGCTAGAGAGTAAGAACCCTTCTAGGCAGAGCCTAGGTCGGGGAAAAAGCGTGCGTGTGTGAAAAACTGCTCGCTAAACTTACCTGGCTAGCGTTGGGCGGAGAGCTGGCAGCTCGCTCTCATAGGGTCGAACAACTCAGTGCACTCAGAAGCCTGCAACGCCCTAGGAGTTTCTGGGCATTCCTGTTCCAGCTCGAGGCGGCCCTGGGGTTCTCCTACGCGTCGCCCTCGGCGGGCGTAGCGCGGTCGCATGGCACTTGCCGGCCCCGGGCGCGGGGGCGACGAGCGAACGAAGCGAGGACGCGAGGCAGCTCGCGGTGCCCTGGCCGGCGCCCGTGCCCCCTGTCGGAGAGGCCCTCGGCGCTGGCACCGTGGCCGCAGGCGCTGTGGCTGGAGGCTCGGCGCCAGGGCAATCCTTGGGATCCGCTCGTAACAACTTTTTCATGCTGGGCGGTTCTGCCGCGCTTCTCAAGGCCCAGGGACCATCACAGATCGATCTGGCTCGAAGAGTTCGGCAGAACGATGGGGTCTAGGGCTCCGGTCGTGACTTTTCGTGGTGACGCATGTGTTCGCAACACTGGATCTCGAGGCTCTCCGCCCCTTCCAGGGCGCCTGCAAGGGGGGCATCCGCTGCGTCGGGCGCGGGGCTCCCCG